TGTGCATGTATGGTGTGTGTATTGAGTCTGTTGAGAGTGTTTGGTCTGTGTGTGTGTGTTTGTGTGATTGTTGAGTGTGTGTGTCTATGTGTGTTGAGTCTGTAAAAGAGAGTGTGTATGTGAGCAGCGAGCGCAGCATCAATCACGGTGGCGTCGCTCTCTATCTCTCCCCTCTCGCTGATGACCCAGCATTCCCTGTTTCCTCTCCCGTCACTACACTCGGCCTTAATTAGAATTCATGACAAAATGGATCCGGGGAAACGTCCTGTACCCTTCATAATTTTACAGGAAATTTATTGTTATTAGAGGAACCATTTGCTTAGTGTGATTTTTCCATTAAGGTCTTGTCAAGCAGCAGAGATAGCAGAGCTTTGTTGATGAGGTGTGTGTAAGTAAGAGCTTTGTTGGTGTGTGTGTGTGTGTGTGTGTGTGTGTGTGTGTGTTGAAGAGCTTTGTTGATGGTGGATGGAGTTTACCTTGGTGCTCTTGTTGGCTAATATGGCAACAGAAGGGTGAGGAGATGATGATGAAAATGGGAGAAAATGGAAAGATGTGACAAAAACAGAAGTATCTAAAGGAATTTCAGATTGCATATCCATTTTCGGACAACTTTTACATTAGTTGAATGAGAAGAAGGGTTGTTTATTTATTGCTAACTTCAACGTAATGACAGATTTTTAGCGGGCAGATTTGTACTTCATTTCAATTATTTAATCCACCCAAAATGTAAATAATAGGAACAGAATCGCAATGAATTTTGACCTTAGAATTGACTGTAGCATTCTAGACTGTACTTATCTCAATTTATGTATGTATGTGTGTATCTAAACACACACACACTCACCGGCCACTTTATTAGGTCCAACTGCTCTTTAACCTTTTTTAGGGTTTACAGAGAATGATCTGAAAGAGAGAAAATATCCAGTGAGCGGCAGTTCTGTGGGCGCAAATGTTTTGTTGATGCCAGAGATCAGAGGAGAATGGCCAGACTGGTTCCAGCTGATAGAAAGGCAACAGTAACTCAAATAACCACTCGTTACAACCGAGGTATGCAGAAGAGCATCTCTGAACGCTCAACACATCCAACATTGAGGAGTATGGGCTACATCAGCAGAAGACCACACCGGGTGCCACTCCTGTCAGCTAAGAACAGGAAACTGAGGCTACAATTCACACAGGCTCAACAAAATTTGACAATAGAAGATTGGAAAAACATTGTCTGGTCTGATGAGTCTCGATTTCTGCTGCGACATTTGGATGGTAGGGTCACAATTTTGCATCAACAAAATTAAAGCATGGATCCATCCTGCCTTGTATCAACATTTCAGGCTGGTGGTGGTGGTGGTGGTGTAATGGTGTGGGGGATGTTTTCTTGGCACAGTTTGGGTTCATTAGTACCAATTGAGCATCATGTCAACGCCACAGCCTACCCGAGTATTGTTGCTGACCATGTTCTTCCCTTTATGACCACAGTGTACTCATCTTCTGATGGCTACTTCCAGCAGGATAATAATAACAATAATAGAAAAACATTTTATTTGTAATTTGCTTTTTTCAAGCTCAAATCACGTACAAGGCAAAAACAATAAATAGGAATTTATAACCATAATTAAGATAACAAATGACACATTAAAAACACTACTAAAAATGAGAGTCTTAACAAGCTTCTTAAAAATGTCAAGAGACACTAATGGTAATGAGTAATGCATTTCATAATTTTGTCACACTGTATGAAAAAGCCCGACCACCCATGGTGCTAACCCGAAGCAGAGCGGAGAATGCGAGCAGGAGTGGAAAGTGCCACAAGATCACAAATGTAATCAGGAGCTAGCCTATGGACTGCTTTATAAGTTAAAATCAAAGTCTTAGGATAACGCACCATGTCAGAAAAGCATGAATCATCTCCGACTGGTTTCTTGAACATGACAATGAGTTCACTGTACTAAAATGGCCTCCACAGTCACCAGATCTCAATCCATTAGAGCACCTTTGAGATGTGGTGGAACGGGAGATTCGCATCATGGATGTGCAGCCGACAAATCTGCAGCAACTGCTTTCGTGATGCTATCATGTCAATATGGAGCAAAATCTCTGAGGAATATTTCCAGTATATTGTTGAATCTATGCCACGAAGGATTAAAGCAGTTCTGAATCATCACATTATCCTGCTGGAAGAAAACATGAAAAGATGAGTACACTGTGGTCATAAAAGGATGGACATGGTCAGCAACAATAGTCAGGTAGCCTGTGGCATTGACACAATGCTCGATTGGTGCTAATGGGCTCAGAGTGTGCCTTTCTATCAGCTGAAACCAGTCTGGCCATTCTCCTCTGACCTCTGGCATCAACAAGGCATTTGCGCTCACAGAACTGCCGCTCACTGGATATTTTCTCTTTTTCAGACCATTCTCTGTAAACCCTAGAGATTGTTGTGCGTGAAAATCCCAGTAGATCAGCAGTTTCTGAAATACTCAGACCAGCCTGTCTGGCACCAACAACCATGCCGCGATCAAAGTCACTTAAATCAAGTTTCTTCCCCATTCTGATGCTCGGTTTGAGCTGCAGCAAATTGTCTTGACCATGGCTGTTTCTCAATTCCAAGAACGCAGAGAACGGACTTGCGTTCTTGTGGAGACCGGTCTTGCCAGGTGTCCTCGGAAGAACGATCTCAGGAGACCGCGAGGGCAGAGAACGCGTCCTTTGAGAATTGAGATGCTGCGTTCTTCCTGATGGTCACATGACCTTCACGTGTTTTAAATGGAAATTATTTAAACATTACAGCATTCATACAACGATTTATTGTTTTTCCCCTCTTCAAAATATATACTTTGCATAAAAACATTATAAATATACTCTGCACAATATAAATAAAACAAATTTTAATACGATTTTAACAACCTTAATGTGTTTATTCCTTTATCAAGGTATTCATGTTAATGTTTACTTTCACCGTTTCGTTTAGGGAAACTCCTGATGTAAATAAGTGATATTTTTGAACTTTAATAATAAATCTAGATAAAATGCAGCGCTTCCCACCTCCAGTCGCAATGACTTCTGGGACTTCCAGAGCGAGTTCGGTGCTCAAGTCTGCATCGGTGCGTCCTCTATCAAGATCACATCCGGGAAGTTTCACGCGTCCTCCGTACTTGCGGTCTTGAGTATTGGAACTGAACTTAGGCTGCTGATGATGACGTTGCACGAGAACACGAGGACACAAGACCGCTGAAGAACGCATATTGAAAAACAGCCCATGTCTACATGCCTGAATGCATTGAGTTGCTGCCATGTGATTGGCTGATTAGAAATGTGCGTTAACGAGCAGTTGGACAGCTGGACCTAATAAAGTGGCCGGTGAGTGCATATGTAAACCTCAAAATTTGTTAGCATGTAGCAGAACTCTCATCATTTCTTTCTTAAAAAGTCATTCATTAATGATTTTTCATCTATCACTGATTAATGTTGCAAAGACATAAACACACACCCTTCTTTAAGGTTTCAGGGATTGTTCAGATGTGATTCTCTTTCTCAGTGCTCAGGTGACTCTCTGAGATGCTGAATGAAGCATCTGACCTGCTCAAACTCTGCTGTTTACACACACACACACACACACACACACACACACACACACACACACACACACACACACACACACACTCTCTCCCATGTACTGTAGTTCATTAGTCTAAAGTGAGAGTGGTGTGTTATATTAGCTCGGTGGGAAGCAGAACAGGTTGTCATCTTCCAAGCATCTGTTTGTTTTGAGACCACACTGAGGTTTGTAATTACGACGCATATATAACCTAATAAGCTTAATTTGCAATTATAAACCTCCAGCACAACTTTAGGGCTGCAGCAGGAGAAACGGGTGAGTGATAATTGCTCAGAAGCTGTGGAGGAGTGTGTGTTTGTGTGTTTCTCCACAGTTTTGTAACTTCAGACATGTGCTGGGGTTTTCGTTTTTTAATTTCAGATGCAAGCGTAGTTTCTGCTCGGTTCAGTTCGAAAAGATTGAAAACCATGTAGTACTACTAGTTTATATATACAAACGGATATTTTATGAGTATTAATTGTATAATTATACCTTGTAGTATAATTGTGTGTGGGGGTGGAATAGTGGCGCAGTGGGTAGCACAATCGCCTCACAGAAAGAAGGTCGCTGGTTCGAGCCCCGGCTGGGTCAGTTGGCATTTCTGTATGAAGTTTGCATGTTCTCCTTGTGTTCGCGTCGGTTTCCTCCGGGTGCTCCGGTTTCCCCCACAGTGCAAAGACATGCACTATAGGTGAATTGGGTTGGCTAAATTGACCATAGTGTTTGTGCGTGTGTGAATGTGTATATGGATGTTTCCCAGTTCTGGGTTTTAGCTGGAAGGGGATCCGCTGTGTAAAACATATGCTGGAATAGTTGGCGGTTCATTCCACTGTGGCAACCCCTGATAAATAAAGGTATAAGCCGAAGGAAAATGAATTATTAATATTGAATCAATGCACTCTATGGCACCTTTAAGTTAATTTGTTACATGAAACCCTTTTGTTGATTTTCCAGACTAACTAGGCTACCTATATAAATGACTATATCATGAAATATAGATATTGAATTTAAAATATATTGAATTTTGTAATACTGCCCACCCCTAGGAGCCAATTTAGTTGATCAGATCTACTTCAACCGGTGAATGAAAATCTTCTAACAGTGTGCTAAGTTTTAAACCCTGCTAATTATCTTGTTTTGTTGTTGTTGTTTTTGTATTTATAGCTGGTTGCCGGCAGTGTGGTGATGGCGTTTGAGGAGGTTTGTCCGGACCGAATTGATCTGATCCACAAGAATTATCGGAAACTATGTAACCTGCTGGTGGATGTGGAGGAGTGGGGTCAGGTGGTCATCATACACATGCTAACGCGCTACGCTAGGACGCAGTTCATTAGCCCATGGAGAGAGGTACAGGTTTTCATTAAGCACAGAGCATTTCGTTATCGGTATATACTGTGCAGTTGAAGTCAAAATTATTCACTCTCCTCCTTTTTCAAAATGGTGTTTGAATTTTTCATAGTATCTCCTATAATATTTTTACTTCTGGAGAAAGTCTTATTAGTTTTATTTTGGCTAGAATAAAAGTAGTTTTTAATTTTAACGTCAATATTATATAGCCTTCTTTAGCAATATATTAATTCAGTTGTCTATGAAACAAACTATTATGCAATGACATTTACATTTACTTTTTATTATTTATTTATTTTTTATTTGTATTTTTTTTTTAGTACAGTTAGTGGTATATCCAGAGAAGCAATTGCAGATTAGGAAGTGAAGTGGAGACTAAATAGTTGAGTTTTTAGTTGTTTCAATGAATTGCCTAATTACCCTAGCTTGCCTAATTAGCCTAGTTAAGCCTTTCAATGTCATTTTAAGCTGAATACTAGTATCCTGAAAATATGTAGTAAAATAGTATACACTGTCATCATGGCAAAGATCAAAAATCAGTTATTAGAGATGAGTTATTAAAAATATTAGGTTTAGAAATGTGTCTCTCCGTTAAACAGTGTAAGAATGGGTTTTAACCACAGAGGTTCGAACTGTAGTTCTGCCAAGTGACTAAAAAGTTATTAGCATGACGGTAAAATCTGTACATTTCTAGTCAAACCATTCTTCTGCAGGCTTATACCAAAAGCGAAAATAAGGGCAGTATTAATAGCTATAAATTTGGGCGAGTGTTGATATTATGTGATTGTATTATATTGCAATATGGAGCAATTAAGTGTTGATGTTAAATCAAAAGTAATTCTCAAATACTTAAAAATGAGATGATTTAGTGACAGTAACTTGCTATGGACACAACTGAATTAATTACAAAATAACTGTATAAAATGATCAAATATAAAATGATAAAACATATGATATAAATTGTACCCAGCTTAAATGTAAAATTAAAGTTACCAGAGGTAGAAGGAGAGACACAGGGGGAGGGAGAGAGAGACAAAGGCCCCGTTTACACTAGTGCGTTTTAGTTTTAAAACGGCGTTTTAGAATGAAAACGATCCGCGTCCACACTCGCGTTTTACCCAGCGTTTCTGAACTGCTCTCCGTCCACACCAAAACGCTGAAAACACACATCACGTGACCACACACACACACTTTGGCAATCGCTGGAGCCCATCTACCCAGATGAGAGCTGTGCTAGTCGGACTTCTCATCAAGCATCTCCCGCTGGATCTAATCTCACTATATTTATTAAACGTGATATTTCATTCATCTTGTTGTCTTTATCTAACGACATATTCCCTGACTTTGGTCATTGGAATCTATTACTTGTTCTCAGGTAACGTGTTTTGGCTACGCGCAAAGATAAGCTAATGATTAATGTAACCACGTAGCCTATTCTGTATATTGACTGATCACTTGCCTTTATTTCCTATAATGTATAAACTTATTGTATGTTATACTTTTATAATGGCCATTATAAATTATTAAAACTGATATTCAGCAAAAGAGAGGGTGTGTTTCGTATTTTCACTGAAATTGAAAGGAGGCAGTTGTTATCGGCTCCGTTTTGTTATAAATATCCACACAGTGAAGATGACGCTCATGCAGCACGATGCCTCAACATTTCTGCTGTCTGTTTATTTGTTAATATTAAAATAAAAATAGGCAGTTCCTTATATCAAGTTTAAATTTTATTGTTGAGAAAGTGAAACAACGTAGCCAGGGTAATGTTAATGTGAATGAAGTTAAAAAGTACACTGTTCCCTGTGAAGATTGACGCGTGTCCTCGGTATGTTTTCCATATCAAACTGAGAAGAAGAGATGCAGCCTTGATCAAACTTGCGAAGTCTGAACTTACACGGAGAAGATTCAGGACTGAACTGTGTGTTAGGCTACTTAATATTGAGGAAAAGCCCCAATCAGATAGGCGAATGTCTGCAGCCCCGCCTCCGTTTTCAGATGTCTCCGTCTTTCCCCATCCACACTAAGACGGAGCAGCAGCGTTTCAGAATGAAAACGGCCTCTCCAGCGTTTTCGAAACGCTCCGTTTTCGGCGCTCGAGAACTCCGGCGTAGTGTGGACGGATGGCGTAACCGTAGCAAAACTTATGCGTTTTCAAACTAAAACGCATTAGTGTAAACGGGGCCAAAGAGAGCAGGCCCAGAAGTTAGCTTGATTGCAGTAGAGTCAGAGAAGATAGACTCCAGAGGAGGAGAGGAGCAGAGCAGGAAAAGAGACAGAGCAGAGATTTACACCTATTTTGTATCTTTCTTGACCATGTGACTAAAGCCCAAATGCTGAGACTTTCAAACTGACCAATCAACATGTGACTACACATAAACCCCCAAAGTCAACATACCAGGCCCTGATCTTATCAGTATCTGGCTTTGGAGTCAGTATGGATCTTCTTGAGTCAAAAAGACATGTTTTGTCATATAAACTAATGCATATGATTCAGCCTCTTAAAACAGAAATTGGGAAAATGTATATCCAGGAGAGCTAATAATTCAGACTTCAACTGTACCTCAGTTATTAAGGCTAGCGGTTTCAGTTTATAATACCAATGACTGTTTTTATTCTTTGTTTTGTTTTGTTTTTCAATGCTAGCAGTGAGGGTTTCAGGTATGAAGGATTGTTGGAGAGGACAATAACTATCACTCTGAGTGATGTTATGTAGTCTCTTATGGGTTTAGAGTTACTTTGATATGTGAGTTTGTTAGATGTTTACATTTGTGTGTTTATTAATCATGTGTGTGTGATCGTAGGATGCTATTTTTGATGAAAACAGCGAGAAAACCTTTTATGATTCAGAGGAGGAGAGGAGGGTGGATCAGTCTAAACCCTACATTATGGATCCAGACCACAGACTCCTGCTCCGAAACACTAAACCACTGTTGCAGAGCAGAAACACTGCAGTGAGTACACTACACTACACCAGGGGGTTTCAACCTGTGGGACGCCAACACCTATAAAGTGAATTATGGTAACGGTTTTAATAACAAGTCAAATAACAGGCAGATGGTCAGTACAGGCAGGCAGCAGGCAACATAAGCAAACAAACAAGGCGAGGGTCACAAACACGGCAAGACAACGCAAAGAAAACACATCGTGATGTTCACATTCTGTATAACAAGACTCAGCAATGAGAGTCTTAAAGTGAGATGTATAAATGTGTGGTGTAATCCATACCTGCCAACACTCCCGTTTTTTTAGACCCATCTCCTGTATTGTTTTGTCTCCCGGAAATGGTTTTTTATAAATTTATGGTACAGTCCGGCTAGCTCCTTGGTTCAGTTCCCATGCGCACCAAACCCAACGCAACCATCTTCATACCATCTTCATACCCCCTCCCTGTTCTTCAGTTCGCTCACACCTTCCCCCCGCTCTTCACTTCGCACATACAACCCCCCCCCCACCCCCCTCTTCACTTCTCGCACCCCCGGATAAAATCAGTTGGCAGGTATTGTGTAATCAGTTCATGAGCAGCATCAGCTGTGGGAGTGTAATCAATGGAGAATTGGAGCTGGTGTGTGTGTTGCATGACTGGACCGTGTAATCCATTTACCAGCATATTTGTAGTTCTCCAGCAATCTGCATGGGCTAGATTGCTGGTGACTGATACAACTAGAGAGAATCTGATTAACGTTAGATTCACAGCTAACTATCAGGCACCTGTAGAGTTAATGCTTTTGAGTAAAATATATACAAATAAAATTAACAGTTTTTTTTTTTTTTTTTTAATGAATGACGGTGAATAAAAGTAAAACCGGCGATCCGTCTGAAAAAAAAGTGCCCTTTTTAATCAAATCAGCAGGATGCTTGATCTTCTGGATCTTTCACTTACTTTGAAGACACTACTGACTATGTTTGTTACATGGATATGATTAATCTAGTTATTTGCCTTAATCTGATTAAGACAATAATATAATTAGGGTGTTTACGTGAAGTGCTTTTTGAATGTTGCGTCACCAGGCTATCCACATTTCCTGCAGAGTTTCCTGCAGTTTTTGGTGTTTCATCTTTAATTTTTTTTTTCATTACCTGCAGTTCGGCAGTTTCACTTTCACTTATAAACATTTCATTTATGCCCCCGTGACAAACTGGGCTATTGGACGCCAATAAGGAGTAAGGACTGGTGGACGAGTGTTGTTTTAGTTGAATTTAATACCGCATGCCGAATAGAAAGAAAACAACTTGCACATTTTCCGCAAGTGAAATTGGACAAACTTGGGGGGAGTGTGTCCTAAAAGGTTGAAAACCCCTTTACTACACTACATTTTACTACACGACATCACACAATACTACATGACACCACACAACATGACAAGACACTACAATATTTGACAAGGCACGACACTAGACTACGCTACGCTTTGTAGGAATATACTGGCATTAATGCAGATTAAACACAGACTTTATGGAGTATTAATGTTTATTATGTGTGATATTTCTCCATTTCATGATTACAAAATAAATGCATATAATATGCTAAGAGGGAACTTTAAATATTCTATTATAACAAGTGAGTTAAAAAACTTTTAACAGATGTTTTATTATTATTATCAATGTCGTTAATGTATATATCAAATTATTATTAAGAAGAGCGAGTGCAATTATAATTTCAAAATAATTGTATTATTATTATTATTATTATTATTTCGAGTGATATAAACATATTATGTTTAATATAGTGAATTATTAATTATAGTTAATTATTATTTAAAGAGAGCATTATTAATACTACTATTATACTGAAAAATGTATAAAAATAATATTTATACATTAATTTATTTAAAAACAGTTTAATTATGTTAATTGTTGCTAAATTATTATTATTATTATTATTATATAATTAAAACATATACATAATTTTAAAAATGATTAAAATATATAGATAATTAAAATAGATAAATAATAAAAAATATAATATAATAAGTATTATTAAAATAAAATATTAAAATATTTAATAAAAAATACAATAACTATATAATATTTAATAGAAAAATATTAAAATATATAAAATAATCTAATAAATATTAATAACATTAATAATATAATATAACAGCTATGTCAGTTCTCTAAATTGTTAATTTAAAGCATTTATTTTATAGTTAAATAAACCTCTAATAATTTAATATGACATTTTTAGTGGTGATTGCTGCACATTTATCGCTACATTTGAACAATATTTACTCAATCTTCGCACCTTTTGTTCTTTACTAACCTCACTAATATTCCACTTTTATTCCCACACACACATCTGCAATCTACCGTTTTCTCGTTCTCCCGCTCTTCCCTTTTCATCTCTGAGCAATAGCAGAGGCCTTCACGTGCACCTGAGTGTATGTGTGTGTGTTTCGTTTAACTGCAAGTGTGTTTGCGTGTTTGTACATCCAAGTATTAGAGACTCCAAGGCTGTATCAGACACAGCTCAATCACGTTACATACAGAAATGTGCTCAGAAAACCTTTATTCCTTCCTACATCCCACACACAGAGTGACTCCAGCACTCCATCAACTGCAAGCTCAAGGTCTTTGTGTGTGTGTGTTTTTGATGTGTGCGTGTGTGTGTGTGTGATATGTTTTGATTAAAACTTGTCCTGCTTTGTTCTACACTCTCTGCACACTCTGTCTTTATCAGCTCTCTCTCTCTCTCTCTCTCTCTCTCTCTCTCTCTCTCTCTCTCTCTCTCTCTCTCTCTCGCTGCTGCTTTAGCGCTTGATGTGTTGAAGTCTGCTGTCCTGTTCGTATATTGGGGTCAAAGTAATTTGGGGAAGACAAAATCATTACATACATTGAAGGCTTCCTAATCTATCACCATCTATCTCTTTTTCTATCTCTCTGGAAACCCTCCTCTTCCTCTTTCTCTCACTCCACACGTCTCCGGGACTGTCCACCTGCTCGTCCATTAATCTTTATGGGCTACTTTTCTCTTCGCCTTTATAAAAACATACTAAAAAGCGACGTACTATCATGGTTTTGGATGCTACAGTGAGCACAATTACATGCACGCTAGTGTTGGTGCTGCACAATATAATGTTTTAGCATTGATATTGCAATGTGCACATGGGCACTAGTCATTTGAAAGATGCAGTGGGGAAAATAAGTGTTCAACACGTCAGCATTTTTCTCAGAAAGTGTATTTCTAAAGGAGCTGCTGACTTTAAATTTTCACCAGATGTTGGTAACAACCAAAGAAATCTATACATGCAAAGAAAACTACGAATTCGATTACAAAGTTATGTATTATAAAATAAATGACGCAGGGAAAAAGTATTGTTACGAATGAAATAAAAAACCTTAATCAAAAAGAAGTTTAACCAAAAATAAAAACATATCCCTGGTGCCCTCGCACTCTCTCCCCAAAATATAAACCAAACCACTGAGAATTACCAAGAAAATCTGATTTATTTACAGAAAATATTCATGTGTCAGAAAATATTCAAACTTTCATGTGTCAAGTGTATTAATCATGTATTTCAATGCAAATCAATGTGTTTAGTTCCACATTTAGAAAATATTTTCTTTATTATAGTAGCCGTTTTTTAATAATGTAAAGAATAACTGGTTGTTTACAAAAGCGTTTTCATATTGGTAAAGGCGTCTGCAACTTTTGTGAAGCATCAAATCACCGGCATATTAACAATCAAAACATGTTTATGACTGCTGAAATGTATTATTGCTTTAAAAAAAGTCACATATTGTGCATTTCTATTATACACTATTTGTTTTAAAGCGATCTAAAAAGTTCATATTAATAAGTTTTCTCTTTGCACCACCAGGTGGCAATCTTTGTAGCCTACTTTCATTTCGAGGGTGCAGATTGCATACGCTTTATTAATATGTATAACTTTATTTATTTCATTAATGACTATAACTATATATATATATATATATATATATATATATATATATATATATATATATATATTAATTAAAAAAATATGTACTATTTTCCCAAGTGTATAAAACTACTACTGTAAGAAAATATCAGAATTCGGAACATACTTTCTGTATTATCTTTGCTTGAACTGACCCGATCAAATCCTGTTTATATGAATTGAACCTGCTCCCGATCAGGTTTGACCTAGCAGAACTGTTGCTATGACAACAACTCACGGATCAGCTTTGAAGAACGAAATGATCCTGGATCGTGTCAAATCGTCAATATCCAAATCCAGCTAACTGAGTAATCCACGTACGAAGAACAGACCCCAGGAGGGGTTAAGCCAAAATAAATGACAAAAAACCAACCTAACTAATTTAGAGCTAACCTCCCTGAAAAATAAATAAAGTAAAATACATAAAACTTACCTCCATACTAACAACACAGGAGAAAACGAAAATAATAAACTGAAGGCACCAAACCTCACTACTAGAGCTGCCCGATTCTGGCTAAAATGAGAATCGCGATTTTTTTTTTTTTGCTTAAAATAAAATCACGATTTTCTCACGATTCTGTATATGTAAAATAAAGATATGATAAAAACAAACATATGGCACAACATCGATAATAATATTATGTGTAAGGTCTACTGGTTTTTATAAATAATTCTCTTCTATATTAATCTATTCTTATAATAATTCTGATGTTGAATTATTATGTTTGAGATATATGCTTGCGATCTGTCATATTAGGGTGCTTTCACACCTGCCTTATTTAGTTCGATTGAATCGCACTAGAGTTCGTTTCCCCTTTTGGTACGGTTCGTTTGGGCAGGTGAGAATGCAGCAATCGTACTCGAGTGCGCACCAAAAGCGGACCAAATAAGCGTACCGAGATCTGCTTGAAGAGGTGGTCTCGGTACGCTTTCAAACGAACCCTGGAGCGGTTCGTTTGTGGTGAGAATATGATCCGTACTAAAACAGGTCCAACCGCAAAAAGTACTGCGACTTTTGGACTAATTCAGCTGCC